TACCTCCACTTGTGCTCCCATTTTATTATTTTTCTTGGTTTACCCAGCTCTAATCTTTGGCTTTGTGGTGACCAGGAATCACTGCAGCATGCTGTTCCAGGAATGAGCTAAAGACACCTTACTGCAAGAGCCTGTGACACATGTCATAATAGTCTAGCCTATGCCCTAAGACACCCCAACTCATCTTCTGAGGAACTTCAAAGTTGATGTGGTGGTATTACTTCTAGTTCTACTAGCCCTTCATGGTTTTGTTTGTTTGTTCTTAAAGAACTAAATCTGAGATGTTTCTGAGGCCCGATGAAATGGGCCTCCCACTTGAAATATGAGTGATAGATCTAATATCTGAGATATGCAAAAACTTTACTCTTATTTAATTACATGTATTCAAGGTTAAAACCTTGGCACCACAATAAATGAATTAAGTGGGCTACTGTTAAGAAAACCAGGGCAGTCTCCTACACCAACGAGCATTGGATTTGGGAAGACACCAGAAATGACAGTGGCTATGGAAACCGAATGGCTCCATATCTCAAATTGATTGCTGCTATGCAAGAATGTGCAATCAGAGTTTTTGACTTCCTAAGAGAAATGAGAAAGCTTCATTTTGTGTGTGCACATAAAAACTCCTCATTGTTCAAATGGTGGCAAGTGTTTCATCATCTCAAAGTTGAAGGGGCCATTCTAGGAAGACAAACAAAGCACGTGTGATGGCCAAATGTGGCCTTGAGGTGCCTCTTTGTGACCTCAGATTTACATCTTACTGTCACCATATTCAGCAGAGCACAGTACAAGCTCTTCTTAGTGTCCCTCCCGAAGATTCCCCAGTGACTGCTGATCTGGATGTGTTCCGACAATGCTAAGTACGTCAAGATTTTCCACAGAGTTCAGCATGCACCTTCATGTGTGAACACGGTAAATAATTCTCATGAGATGTTAACTAGGCCTTGAACTAATTCAGCAGGGTCGCCATCTGGGAGTCCTCAGAAACAGTGAACTGTCAGCACCATAAACATTTTAGGCTTCACAGAGGACAGTGACTTCTTCTAAACTAATCACTCCTGCCAGTCAAGCTTTGCAGAATAGGTTTAAGAACAAGGCGTCCATTTAACAACAATAACAAAAACAGTGAGGATAAAAACCGGACAGTCATAATAATGAAAGGCCTAAAAGCAAACTGTGACTTCCCTAATAAGGCAGCGACCAAAGTTGGCTCCCTGGTGGTGGAGCGCCAATACGATTAATCAGTCTGTTTTCAGTTTTCTCACGACAGCAATATTAACAGTTTGCTCTATTCTGTTTATACGTGCTGACAGGTCTTCAGCATGTTGGGCCTACTTGCTGGAGATTAATGGCCACGCTTATACTGAGGTAAAACTAGGCAGGGAGAAAATGCCTTTTATGACTAGATAAGAACTGAATTCTCCTGCAGGTTTTTTTTTTTTTTTTCTTTTTTTTTGTTGCCTCCCTATTGCCTATCAACTCTTCCCTCTTCTAATCTCTATCAGGGTCAGGGATATGTAAGACTAGTCGTGTCTCAAGGTTCTTCTCACTGGCTAAGCTCCCCTCATTTGAGATGTTATATCCTCAAGTGAAATAAAGGGAACTTTAAATACTGATTTTGGCTAAGTTTATCATCTCTAAGTATTGTTGGCTCATTTAGTTTTTTTTTTAATCTAATTCCTAATAAAAGTGAAAGAAATAGGTGTGAGGTGGCCTCTGATGACAGGAATGGTAGTTATTGGGTGATGATGGATTGTATTTAATGCTATTTTTATGGTCACAGGAGAAGGCACAGTTGATATAAAGGACAGCGTGCAGCAGGAAGTATGGGCACCTTAGAAAATCTCTTAGGAGATTATTCTACTTTATAATCATATTTCAACATAAGTCAAAAAGATTTTTAAAAATGTAAGAGCAGTCGCCTTCCACTTACTACCTACCCTGTTCAAAGCTAAAGGAATGATGTCATTACTATATACCTGTCTCTCTCCCAAGTTAGAAAGAAAAATGGTAACTGCAAACATTTTAACAGCATGTAAGCATAGGGAACCTAAAATAACAAAAATTTTAAAAATCAATGTGCCTCCTCTAAAGCTCTGTAGGAATCAATATCCCTCTGTTTGTTTTTAGGCAGGTTCTGCTCCACCCAGTCTATGAAACAAACATGAAGATAAGTGTGCATTGTACACCTAGGAACATAGCCATGGGCTAGGCTCCCCTAGCTATCCAGCCCACTCTCCTTGCTCATATTCTTCTGACATAGAAGCAGGAGGACAGGACTAATTCTGCAGAGAGGACACCAGGGGATAGCTTTTAAGGAGAACATTTGATCCAATATTTTTGAAGGCAGATATAAGAATAGTATAGGATAAAAGAAAGCCATATTAATGACAATAATACTGAGTACTTACTATGTATAAGAATTATTTCTAAAACCTCAATTGTACAAGCCCATTTAATTAACACAACAGAATATATTTCAGTAAGAGTTAAACAATTATTTTTGTTTGATGTGCAGGATGTTTGCGAGAGTAAAATAATATACTGGGCTAGATATGGGCAGATTGTTAAATCTATACTTGCACTTTAATACTTTGTCTAATGCAAAGGTTGGGCTGGAGAGAGGGAAACTGATGTCCAACAGACCAGTTAGAAGGATACTGCAATACACCTGGGAGGGGAAAATTTTGAGAATTAGCTTAGAAACAGACCAACTAACTGTTTAGACTAATTTGCTTGCTTGCTTGCTTTTCTCTTTTCTTTTCGTCATTCATTCAACAACTATTTCTGAGGGTTTTGGATGTGTCCAACATTGCTAAGTGACAAACAGAGAAGTTAGAAAAAGAGGAATTTGAAAAAGTGCCTTACTCACAGTTGGTAAGTGAAGTTAACATCTATCTATCCCTCTCCTTCCCTGCTCTCTCCATATCTGTTCAATACTTTGTTCTATACAAAGGTCACAAACCAATGGAGCGGGTGAAGGCAAAGGAAGAAAATCCTGCTGTCTTCATTCTCACCATTCTGGGAGTGCCCTCTTCCTAGAACTTCATTTCTTTCCTGGTGGTCTGGCCATAAGGCACAGTACATGGTGGTAAACCACCAGACTGCTGGAATAGAACAGGGCTTCTTAGTCATCCATATGAGAAAAAGACCTCCTATTTAATTTCTAAATGTGTGACCTGATTTGGCATATTTTAACCAAAGCAAAACATTATACCAGAAAGGGATCTGACATGATTCCCATGTATACATTTTCACATAAGCTACAAATATAGGCATAAAAAACAAGCTCTGAGCCAAGTCCAAAGGTATTGAAAATAATAGAACAAGCATACTCTGAACATCAAAAATCTTGTATCTAACTTGGCTGATAAATTAATTTGAGACATATAATTCCATTGGACTCCAGAGAAAGCACTGATCTTTTAAAATTAAGATCTACTTACATTTTATAAGAATAAATCCCAACCACTTTCTGAAAAACAACTAGCTAATAGAATGACTACCACTGAGAAATATTTTGTTCTATGGCAACTGTTTTTTCATTATTATTTTATGAGAGCTTGTCTAGATATTATGTATTCTTCACTATCTACAGTTAGTTCTTTTTAAAATGTCTTCTTCAGATGCCTGGGGTTATGTCAGTTTCTTTGGATCTAGTTGGATCTCAAATTGTAAACTCTATTATTTTAATTCTTTCCAAAGGTTCTTATGTATGCGGGCTTATTTCCAAAAGCATTTATCATGACTAATGTATGCTGCTGGCCTTTTATTTTAAAACTAAAAAATCAAAAGGTATTTTGGGGAACTTATGAACATCAACAATCATTTCAAGTACAAACTAGTTCATATATGCCAACGGTGAGAATTTATATGCCCGTAAAAACCTAACTGTAAAAGAAGGAACTCTATAAGAGTGAGCACATTTTAACTTCAATTTTATTTTAAGGATATAAGCCTGCTTTGGACTTGTGTGTTCTATGAATTATGAGCTAACTCAGTTATGGGAAAGCATCCTGCATTAATGTTAAAAATAAAAATGCAGAATCCTGGGCTTGTGCATTTTAATTCTACCTCTACTGCTTACATGATTTACCAAGCTTTGGTGTTTATTTCTGTATGGAAAAGAAAATTTGAGGAGTGGAGGCATTGTTTTTAGGGAAAAAACACGTCATGTAGGTTGTCTAAAAATAAAGTCCATTTAAACTCATTTGAGAGAATGCCTCTTAGTTTAACACATGTATAAACTAAATCCATTGCAGTGTTCATGGAGAAGATAGCCTGGTCACAGACCACTGCTAAAAAGCGTAAGACTGTCTTTAGATAACTTCTGCAGTGGGAACTACTTCTGCAGCTGGAATATAGGACAAGAATCAGAGTTTTAATTCTGAGTTGCAGTGAAGGGGAAAAGACTATGTTCATAGCAGTGCCAACATTTGAAGTGGAGCCTTATGTATTTCATCACCTACAGTGGAAGTAGTTAACCCTGGAAGAGATTACCAAAAGAATAAAAAGATGTACCTCAGTTAGAAGCAAAAAAAAAGGAAAAGAAGATTTGAATAAGCACCTACTTATTTCCACTGAAAATGTTGTTTAGTTATTAAATATTTCAAACATGCTTATGTTTACTGCTAATAAATAAGAATTGAAATCAAGAAAGTATAAAACACTATGTGAGTGATCAGTGGAAACATTCCTATGACTGGTGCCTCCAATTCACACATTAGTAAAGGCTTTGCTGTCCTTTTGCTGTCCTGGGCACTTGATCCACAGGTACAAAGCCTGCAATCACACTGAGAAGTTGTTTTCATTTTGTTCGGTTCACACAAGGAGAGGAGAGAGTCATAGACATGCCCAGAGGGAGGCCAGGTGGAGAGGTGGAGGGAGACCCACTAAATTAGAGCAAGTCGGTGTCACAAGGCCCTTGGACAGCACTGAACTATCCTCCCTGGGTGGGAAAGAAAAACAAACTGGAGCTGTCTGACACTTAGGACTCTTACCTGCGACGCAGATCCTCCGCCACCGCTGCCCGGCAGCTGAACAAATAGGCTCTTAGTGATTTTAGCCGTTGCCGCAGGCGCACCACTGTGGCCAGTGGCTCGGCGTGTAGGTACAGCATGGGGTTCTCCTGCTGGATGTCGATCAGGGGCTCTTCGTACACGTACTCCAGGAACTCTTTGGCCTGCTTAGACACCTACAAAACAAGCTTCGGCAGTCAGTCCTGACAAATCATCCAGCTCATAACACTTGCTCAAACTAGGAACCTTAGCTTGGATAACAAAGTATCATTTTTTTCCCCCTGAACACAGCTAAATAAAAACATCCACAGTTGAACAAAGGTAAATTTTGGCTTCTCTTTCTGTCTTCCAGAAACTCAACTGGTAAAACTTGGAAGAATTAATTAACTATCTCTATTGTGGTAACAATTATATGAATATATATATGATAAAATAACAGAACTATTTTGATGCCTCATACTAACATCAACTTCCTGGTTGGTTAGTTTCATTTTTATCTTTACTACAGTACCTAAGATGTAACCAAAGGAGGAAACTAGGTGAAAGTTACAGGGACCTCTCTGTACTATCTCTTTAATTTCCTGTGTTGCCATAACTGTTTCTAAGGAAAAAAAGGAATTCATTAAGACCCTCTTAACAATCACTACTGATTTTAAAAGCCTCATAAAAATATAATACATATATACAGATGTTGTAGTGGTGATGGTGGAGTGCCAACTTGATTACCTTTGGGATCCTCCCTGGGGACTGGTGGTACAAGTTCCTCCAATCCTGCCATACCTTCCTGCCCTGATGTTTCTGCCTTGGAGCTGACCATAGACTGACACTCCTTAAAATGTGAGCCAAATTAAACCTATCCTCCTTTAAATTGTGTGTATTAGTTACTTGGTTCAGCAACAGGAAAGCTGACTAACACAGACATATATTCCATAATAAGTGGTCACTTAATGAAAAATAGGAAAGCCCCATATATATTACAAAACTTAAAAAGAACAAAAATAGTCTAAGAAAGAAATGAAAGGAAAAGAAAGGACACTATATGCAAAATATTTTGACTAAATAGAAGACAGGCTCAAACACACTATTCAATAACCAGACAGTTGCTTTTATTAGAACATCTTTTAACCTGGCTAACCTGGCCAATATATCCATCCAATGCTGATCCACTTCTGGTAGTGGACAAGACTGTTCTGGCTTATATCTGGATGTCCCCCACAAAGCTCTGGGCACTCAGAGGTAGGACTTTCAGAAGATGACTGGATCCTGGGCGCACTATAGCTGGCGTGGTGAAGAGGTAAGTCAGCATGGGGTGACCCGGAAGGGTACAGGTTATGGTTTGTGTCTAGATGTTCCCTCAAAGCCTCAGGCAGTCATGGAGCAAGCTTCTAGAGTTTATGATTGACTCATGATCCAAGGCTGCGATTATGGTTGCGAGCACTGCACCTGCCCTGGGACGGGTAGCTTGCATATGATATAAGGGAGGGAAAAAGGCTTCCTCTCTGCTGTGGCTTCCCCAGTTTTGCTCTTGTTGCTTTTGCTGTCTTCTGCCACCATGAACTGTTGCCCTCTGCCATGTGCCACTCTGCCTTGGAGCCAGCTGAGTATGGACTTAAATCTCCACAAACTGTGAGCTAGGTAAACTTTTCCTTCCTTAATTCTGGGTGTCAGGTATTTTGTCTCAGCAACAAAAGAAAAGTAACTGAGACAGTGCACCCTCCTCCCGGCCCCTCCCTGCCTCTCTCCACTTCTTGGTTGCCATGGCATGAGCAACTTTCCCTTTACTGTGCCCCCTCTGCCGCACCTTCTTCCCTTAGTGCTTGCTGGCTGTGGAGTGAAGCCATGAGCCCAAATAACCCTCTACACTGTAAAGTCCTGGGAGCTGGGGATGGCATCCCAATGAAGAGGAATGTGACTAAGACAACGACTGAATATTGATTTAAAAGTGTCATTGTTATCAGTAAAAATAAATACATCAGAAACATAATGCACCAGAGATACAGAAGGGGTAGCTTCAATCATGCATAATATGGGCAATTCTTTTAGAATCTTTACATACCAATTCATTGATACTGAGATGTAAATTGGATACAAGTTCTATTTATGAAAGGCAAAATGTCCTCAAAAAGTCTCATTAACATCTCTCTAGGAACATGGCTGGAATTTAACACTGAAATAAACAACTCTTCTTATTGAAAAAAACCCTGAAATTCATTATGTTTCATATTTTAGACTAAATGCTAATTAAATGAAGATAAACAGAAGACAGTTCCTACCTTCAAGGGGCTTGCTGTTTACAAAAGACAAATATTTAAAACAAAAATAATATACAACCTGTCATCTGATACAGAGGCATGGGTGAAGGCTACTAGTAGCATAAAGGACAAGGAAATCAACTTTCCTGGTGAATGGGCTGGGAAAACAGGTGACAGTAGATCTGGGTACAGAAAGATAAACAGAAATTCCCTGGGTGAGCCAGGTGTAGTGGTGCACACTTGTCTCTAATTCCCAGCACTCTGAGAGGCTGAGGCAAGAAGATGGCAAGTTTGAGGCCAACCTGGGCAACTGAATGACTTAGTGAGACCCTGTCTCAAAATAAAAAAAGTCTGGGGATATAGCTCAGTGCAAAGGCCTTGGAGTCAATCCCCAGTACTAAAGAACAGAAAAATTCACTTGGTGGACAGGGTAGGACAGAGGAGAGGACAACAGGCAGACACAACCATGAAAACTCCTCCGTATGTACACTGTTAAGTGTATGGCTACTGTGCACTGATTAACGGCATGCATTTGTACGCACATACAAAATTCATATTATTTTCTTATATTGTAAAGGTTATGTTTCTTACAAGGATGTAAAAAGATTACATCATTTTAAACTGCCTTTTTTTTCTTATAAGCAATTATTTTTGAGATACCTGTTCTGTTGTCTGATCCCACAGAGTTAAGGGTGCTTACAAGTTTCTGCAACTCCATCTCACAAAGAGGCCCGCGGAATTAGCCAAAGCTTTTGAGTAATTAGCTATACTGGAAATAACAAGGTGAGAGAGTGAGAAAATCCTGCCTTGTGTTCGAGGTTTACAGACACAGGTACGTGCTCAGATACTGATGGAAGATAAAACAGGCAGAGCCTTGTCCTCAGGTAGCTCACAGGTCAAGTGCAGAAAGGCACAATGGGTTAAATATTTTATTTACCACGTTTAAATATTTGCTGTATTTAAAAGTCTTCAATGAAGAAAAAACTGATGGTGTTCTGGAAAATGAAGTACAATCCACTTGAAACTGTTGCTAAAAAATGATGTATTGTACAATTCAATTAGTCCTTCTGGCTCTGTGGAGCAGTGTTTATACTGAGTCAGGGCCCTGCTGAATTAGGTTAACAACGCTACCTTTTAGTAGGTGAACAGAAGGACAAAGGGCACTGGCTAGTCTCCCAGGCCTTAAAAGGATTCTCTCTTCAGGTGGTACTCAAACCCGAAAGCAAAAAAAAAAGTCTTTTACAGAGACAGTAAAAGCAGCGAGACAAATAGGACAGCAGCTACTGACAGCAGTATGCATAAACTGAAATGACAAAAAAGAAAACAGCTAGTTTGCACAATGTCAAAGCTCAGCCTTCCCAAGATACTAATCAGCATTAAGCATACTGAGCACATCCTTGACTGCGCAGTTTGGGCAGGTGAAGAAATGCTTGCCACATAGAGCCATTTTTGGCAATAAGACTGAGCACATGCTCAGGTTTTTAAGAATCAACCATTAAGACTGGTGAGGGGATTTTTGGGAGAACTCAAAATTTGGCAGGAAGAGCTAGCTTTGCAAAATAGAGCACTATAGCCCTGTTGATTTCTTAAGTCCTAAATGATCCTCCATAATGGTACAAGAAGTCTGCTCTCAAATTCAGGAATAATTAAAAATATTTTTTTAAAAAGAAAAAAATTAAAAGGTACTTAGGAAAAGCGGCCAATGATATTCAATGTTTATGTGAGAAAAGTTTCTTTCTTAACGTAAATATCATATTATATAGAGTTGTATGTGAACAGTGAATATGTTCCAACTAAGAAGAGCTACCGTCCTACCTCCTGCCCACCAATTTATGAAAAACATACAGTGCCTGAGTGTTGTTTCAGATGTAAATAACAACTTAGTCCACAAGTCAGGTGCATCTCGGTAAGCACTGTTTTTTAAAAATGAATGGTTCAGCTGACAATCTTCTCTATGATCGTACTTCAGTCATATTAGAGTTAAATCTTTGCATGCTCAGTGGCTCATTTTTCAAACCTACGGGCCTACTAGTATTTTACCAAATAATATTAACATTTATTAGTGATATTTACAATAGTTATATAAACAAATCTCCTCTTATTGCTCTTTTTACTTCTAAGTAGAATAATCTTAACCCATGAGAACTCAGCACCATGACTGTGCAGGTGCTGTAGTTTGTGAGCTGAGTTCTCCCTCAGAAAAACACACAGAACAGGCCAGGCATGGTGGTGCATACCTGTAGTCCCAGCAGGTGGGAGGCTGAGGCAGGAAGATAGCTAGGAATTCAAGGTCTTCCTGGGCTACCTACTGAGTTCAAGGCCAGCTTGAACTACAGACCAAGACCTTGTGTCCAAAAAAACAAGAAGAAAAGAAAATACAAGAACATAATCTTAGACTAACAAGGACAGGTCAAGATAACTGAGTTTGATTTCTCTCAGTCTGTGTAAAAGGAACACTAGCCCCACAAAAAAAGGTGTTCTGAGGTCCATCAAGAAATATGCCCCACAGTACTTCTCTTCTTGGTGATTCCAAGTACAGTGATTAGCATATTGAAACTCTGAGATATCCTGTACTGAAGAAAACCTGCTTCACCCTATCTCTTCCCAAATCTATCTGGCTACAGACTGAGAAGCTGTTTGGTGTTGTGCCAGACCTATGGAGGCAGAGGGGCAAGACATAAAATCCAGCCTGGTGCTGCTCACCAACTCGAGGAAGGGGCACCATCTTTCTCTAACTTTGCTCCAATCAATCTCTTGCTCAGCAGAGAGCCTGAGGACTGCATTCTCCTGGACAAGCCCTTTCCTAATCCTCATAACACTGGCCCGACTGTAGCTTTCCTATGGACCCCTCCTTTTGGGTAATACCCATTGACACATGCAGAACTTGCGAATGCCCCATGGAATCCACTTTGAGACACACTAGG